AATTCAGATAACATTGTAGAGGGAACTGCTTTCTCCATGATTTTTCTTTCCACAGCTATGCCTGCGTGAGCAAACCACCAAAGCAGTCAGCTCACAGCTACATGCAGTGTTTACAAGCCAGATCCAGAACAGAGTGGTCTGCCTTCCCAGAATGAGATTTTAGAGAAGACAACTATGATCTATGAAGAGGACAAGCGTACTTTGCAACAGGAACTCGAGACTTAGAACCAGAAACTTCAGCGGCAGTTTTCTGACAAGCGCAGACTAGAAGCCAGGCTACAAGCAAGGCATGGTGACAACCAACCATGAAGTGGGACAAAGAATGCGTGAGTATGGCTCCCGTGGGATGGTGGCTGACTTCCACCCGAGGTGTTCCGAATCCCTGTTCCTAGGCTTAGGGTTTTGGTGGTGGTGGCAGCAGGAGCCACCGTTCAGTCCATTCTGTCTCCTTTCTCTGCCCTTAAAATGGCTGACCAGAGAGCCGGCATGACAAGGTGTGCTTAACTCTGGGAGGACTGTCATTCTTAGGAAACGAGGCGGCTGGGTGGTCTGGGATGCTTGTTTGGTGTGACTGAATTAGCCGTGTGTTCCTCTTGCTAACCTAGGAGCATGGGGTGGCAGCCAAGCAGCTGGAGATGGAAAATAAACTCTGGGTCAAAGATGAGAAACTGAAACAACTGAAGGCTATTGTTACTGAACCCAAAGCCAAAAAGCCAGAGAGACCCTCTCAGGAGTGGGACTGGGGAAAAAGTCACTCAAAGAGCCGTCTCTCTGTCACCAGTACCTGTAAGTTTTTTGTGGTGGGGTAGTCACTTGCACTAGAGAAAATGTGTTCAGATAAGGTAACTTTCTAGGATGCTCCATTTGTTTTATATTATTGTATTTCTCTAACTTCTATATGTAAATATTTCTGAATTTAGCATAATAACTAATTTATTGCAAATACAGAATAAAATATGGAGTGACTCAGTAAAAATGATTCTAACATGGGCTAAAATGATAGAAAAGCAGTGAATTGTTCCTTTCTGTGTTTCAGTCTTGCTTATTAATTTCTCTTCCATTTTTTTAGCTTTCTAGTAACTATATTGCTGAGCTTCCCACCAGCCAGCGGCTGCTGAACCAGCCACAGCTACATAGGCACTCTAATTCTTGCAGCAGCATTTCTGTAGCCTCCTGTATTTCGGAATGGGAACAGAAAATTCCTCCGTATAACACACCTGCCCATGTCACTGCTATTGCAAGGCGTAGGCAACAGGAGCCAGGACAAAGTAAAACTTGTGTCGGAAGGCAGGGAGGTGGTTCCCACATTCAGAAATGAGATAGAGCTAGAAGAGGACCACTGCTGCAGGGTCAGTGCCGGCATTCTCCTAAAGCCTGGTGGCCGAAGCGAATTGTAGGTTTGCTGGTGGCAGGGGCGGTTTGTGACTTGATTCATTCAGAAAGTTCAATGGAAAGATGGGTGAGCTCCAAATATAAGCAAGGGCTAATTTTTCTGTTTCTTACTTTGACAAATCACCCTGAGATTGAGGCCTAGCTCTTCATCTGAAGAAGCCTTGACACCTGGCCAATGCGTGCCCCAGAGTAATCTGGGCTTTCATTTGCATAAGCTAATAAGCAGCCACAAAATCAGCGAACAGTGTTTCAGAGCACATTTTCCATTTTTTTGTTTTCCTTCCTGTTTTTTTGCTGCTTCTGAACTTTTATTTTTTAAATTGTTTTCTCAAACTTATTTTGAATAGTTTCAAATTCAAAAGTTGAAAGAATGGTACAATATCCTTCTTTCCCCTTACCTGGATTTACCACTTGTCATATAGCCATTTTTTCCTTGAACTTCAAAGGAAGTCCCTATACTTTGTGACTTTTAGTCCTACTAAGGGCACTGTCCTGTATAAACAGTCTTTATCAAACCTAAGAAAGTTAACATTAATTGAAAATAGCCTCTATTTTTAATCTATGATCCTAACAAAGTGAATGTAGTTATTCACAACGTGCACGTGGTTATGTGTCTTCAGTCTCTTTTAATATAAAATAGTCCCTCTGCCACACCCTTTTTTTGATTTTCATGACAGTTTTGCAATAGTCCAGGCCTATTGTTTTGTAACTACTGAAGGTTTGCATGTCTAGTAAATTGCTTTTAATCTCAAGACCTTTATCTCAATTTATAAGGGCTTGGTCTCAGTCAACGGTGTTTAAAGAAATTCGTGTTTAAATTTTCTTCTTAAGGATTAAGGTAAAGTTTTTCCTTTGACTCTGAATAAATGGACCAAGTTAATGTGGATTTATATTTAGTAAAATCTTACTATAGCTATTTTAGAATTTGTCTTTTAACAAATTAATAGTATTTTGCTTTAAATTTTCTTGTATAATTTAGGGTACAGATAAGTTTCATTTAGATGGCCCGTACTTCTTATTAAGGGATAGTGATGAATTGCAAGGTATTTACCAAGACAACAGATGACTCTAAAGACTAAGTTCTTTACAAATTTTGCTTGAAACCTTTTTAGGGAGCAAATTTTGGTGACTGATCTTTCTGATCAACTCTAATAAATTACCTTTATTTTTCATGAAACTTTAGAGAGTGAACACTATTCAAGGCTTGCTTATGCTTGGTTAACTAATTCTGCTCTCAGATATTTAAGATTTACTAGAGATCCTTTAACTTCTCACTTGAAATCAAATCTCTTTAGAAGTGCAGCAAAGTTTAGGCTAGCATCTATGTATCCAGGTTTGTTGGCCAAAAATTATGTTAGGTGGGCTGAATTTATACTTCAGTGAAGAAGATGAAAATATCTGATTCGGTGAATAGCAGATTATAGTAATTATCTTTCTGAAGCCAGTTTCATAATGTACTTATTGCTAAATGTGTTCAGGAAAACTATCACCTTTGCTAAACGGTAGGTCACGAGAGCCTGACTTTGTTCAACATCAGGTCACTTTTTAAGAAGGGAAAATTTCCTGGGTTGCTGGCAGTGTGGGCATCTTTCGTGGCCAACTCTATCGCCCACGTTCTATAGTAGCAATGACTTAGCACTAGCAGCTGTTGCTTGTGATTACATAGGGGAAATGCTTCCATTCTCCAGACAGACTTCTTAAAGTTAGGATCTTTGTCTGTGACCAGGCTGGGAGGATTTGGCATGTGACAGACTTTAATTTGCTTTTAGTTAATACAAACAGGAGACATCTCAACCAGTGAGTTGTCTTTGGAACTATGTCCTGTATGTGAAATGCATTTCCTTAGACTGAACGTGCTAAATTTAACTTTCCCGGATTTACATGGTAGTTGACTGGAAGCAACAAGTTTTTAACTGTATGATTGATACAGACTGATTTGATACTACATTTGGTTTGGTTCTTGGAATCTTTATGAAATATTTGAGAACAAAATAGTTGGTATGTTTTAGCCATTATTGTGTTTGAACTTGTCAAGAAGTTCTACTTGAGATTTTAAGATCTCAAAATAGTCAGAAGTACTTCATTTATAGTCAGTCTCCTAATCATTTTATACATAGGGTTCTTATTATACCTTATGTTCTTTAGCATTATGTACCATAAAGTCCATTAGTTTTTACTTATTGTCTTTGTATACAGAGTGTTCTGTGCAAGTTTTAGAGCTTTTACTGACCTCATTTGAAGTTTTTGACATAGTTGTGGACCTAACAGATTACCTTACAATAGGAGGCACAAATAATGGTTTTGATAAAGTAAAATTAATGGTCTTGAATACCACCTACACAGGAAAGCCTAGCAGCATAGCCAGAATTTTTTCTTACATTGTTTTGTTGAAAGGAGAGCTCCTTGGTAGAATGTATACTGAACAAGCAGTATTAAAAGATGTTTGTTGGTTGTGTGGTTAAATACAAAGAGAATATTTAAATTATCTGAATAAGATATTTAGCTTTTGAAAAGGTTTATGCATTTGTTTTGATACTGTCATCAACTAATGTAGCCAAACCTGCTGCACTTCTAATAATACCCTTAAATTAATTCTGGGTTATGCTTGTTTCTCGATTCCTCTTTGAACCTGATCAGAACGTGCCACCAGTTTGTCTCCGCCACAGACGATCTCGCTATGCAGGAGACCGATGGGTAGATCATAAGCCTGCCTCTAACGTGCAGACTGAGAGAGTCCTGCAGCCACACATCCCTCCTGCCATCACGGTGTCTGCTGCAAATGGAAAGGCACTAGCTAAGTGTGAGAAGTACATGCTGTCCCACCAGGAACTAGTCTCCGATGAGGAGATTGAAACTAATCAAGGTTAAAACAAATTGACGGAGGACAAAAAAACATACAGAAAGTCAACTTTGCAAAAAAAGAACCACTTACTCTTTCTTTGACTCACAGGCTGTGTCAACAAAGATAAATGGGTAATGATAGAACCTTTTTGTTTGTCCGTTAGAAAACTAAAGGAACTGCTCAGGCTGTAAATCTGCTAAACTCCGACTAAGTTAGCTGCTCTCTAGTGAACGAGGCTCAGATCCTCAGGATTCTTTCTGTTCAAGGAACTCCAAATCTATAACATACTGTAGAGTTAGTTTCAGCCACTACTTTAGAAGCAGATCCAAACAAAGAACTACCATTTGTCGGTTCCAGATAAAAAGCCCACGTTAAAATGTGATGTATCAACATTTCTTACCACTGAGCTACCCAGATCCCTTTCCCTTCCCTAGCCTATAGAAGAATTATCCTTTGATCAGAGTCCGTGAATAATCAGAGAAAAGCCAATTAGAAAACATTTAGAGGATGTTTCTTAATTATAACCAGAGTTACAAATAAGACTATAAAATGAGTGGGGTGGTATATCCAGAGGAAAGTATAATGCCTTAGAACATTTAGAAATTTCTGGTAGATTTCTTGATCGTTGGTGTAATTTTTAAATTATAGACTGAAAAAAAAGGAATATGTATTTTTTGCAATTTGAGAATGTTACTGATTTTATTGCACTGGACTTTTTACTGAGAGATAATTTCTGAAGTACTTTAATAAGCACAGTCAGAAGCACTTGTGAATGGGACTTTCTTTACTGTTTCATGGAGAATCTTAAGTTCAGTTTGAAATACATGTTTATCATTCAGTTATATTAAAGTATAATGCTGGTCTTTCCTGTCTGCTTCAGGGTGATGTTTATAAAACAAGAGGTGGTGGACAATCTGTTCAGGTTATGGATATTGAGACTTTAAAACAAGAATTGCCAACTGGGTGAGTGATCATCAGATGTATCTCTTCAGAGGGCTTTAGACTTCTTAGCTGCTGCTTCTTGCAGAACACAATATCCTATAAGATGTAGCATTAATTAACTGAAGGAATGTAGTGATACCCTATTTCTAGTATTTTTCCTATTCTTAAATGCAAAAATAATTGTTGCATCATGTTTCCCCCTTTTCCACAGTCGAAAATGAAGATCTTCCACAGCAGCACATGCCCCATCAGATGGTAGAATCCGAAGGGACTGATGTAGAAACCAGGGTAGGGGTAAAAAATATGTCTGCTTCATAAAACTTAGGGCAACCTATTTTAACCCTCCTGGCTCCAGCTTTTCCTGCTCTCAGAAGCAGCTGAGGTCTGATCTCACATTGCCATTGCAGCCTATAGGTCTGTTCTCCACAAACCTGCCATGGTTCTCATGTTTGTTTAGGTCTGCTCCTTAAAGGAGTTCTCTGGTTCAAGGTCCCTGGTTTCAGTGTAGAGGGACAGGACTGGAGATTCAAGTCAGAGGGCATCACTGTAGAACAACAATTCACATCAAATTGGTGGGAACCTTCACAGAAGCACAAGTTCCCTGTGGAACTGTTACTCATTGTTACTCTAGCTAAAGGGAAGCTCTTCTAGAGCGAGCGCGGGAAGGGTAGGTGGTGTTAGAAGGCCCAGCTCTGGCCACTAACCTCTAGAGACCTTTCCAGCTCAGCATCTTTTGTGGCCTATGTCAAATAACCTGCACATATCTGTTAACATAGCTGTCTGTGCTGCACTAGAAAGCAATGTGGGATCCCACCGTGGATCGAAGCCATCCGAGCACAACTGTGTTTACAGACTATAGAGGAGCTGATCTTTTCCTCTTCCGTAATTTTCTTATCCGTGTTCTGTGGCTGTGGAGAAGACAGCAGGATCTCAGCTGGGACCTGGATATCAGCATCATGCACAACCCAAGTGAGTTCTGACTAACCGGGCCTTTGTGTGCGTGTGCTCCCTCCTCCAGTATTTCCACTATCACCCCATCTCCCTACCATCCACTTTTAAGAGGACATACGTGGTTTTTGTTTACCCCTTGGGACAGCTAGACCCTCTAGCAGACTGCAGCAGTGGGGCTGAGAATGTCAGAAGGCTCAGTGAGAGCAGTAACCGGAGGTAAAGGGAGATTGCTCATGCTTATTCACACTTGGCTAGTGCTCCTAAAGCTCTCAGAGCCAGACTGAGATCACCTTTAAGGAGGGAGGCTGGAGGCTTTAGTCAAGGATGACATCTCTTCGTGTAATTCATTTCTCCAAACTTGGCCTCTTGATCTCGTTATAGTGGTAAATGTTCACTAAAACAAAACAGAATAGTGGAATTTATGGTAGGGGAAGGAATCTCACTCTAAATACCGTTAATTGCTTTCTCAGGATTTGAACTTTCCCACAATAAAACCTGAGTTCTCGTAAAGCCTTTCCTAGGAGATCCAGTTGCTATGAATGCAAAAGTCAATACTAAATGCTGGTTTTCACATTGTAGGCACAAGAAACCATGACCTGACAGTCTCAGTAACCAAAGAGCATTTTCATTTGTGTCGGTGATTTCTCCAAAGTCATGCCAGGAGTCTTCTGAGTCACCTCTCAGCTTTGTTGAATATCACAGACATCAGATACATCATACACTGGTGCAGATCAGAGATTCCCCCTATGGTTCCAAAGATACCTAGGCTTCAGCACACTGTTTATATCCTATGCCCTGCCATGTAAACTTTTCCAAAATGCTACTGTTTTGTATATATTTTGTATACTTAATAACTAATTTGCACAAGTGCTTTGTCCTGGGTGACTTAGGAAAAATATATGTAAATCACTTTTTTGTGTGACTTTTCCTGCTCTTTTCTGAATACTTTTTTTTTTTTAAAGATTTTATTTATTTATTTGACAGAGATCACAAGTTGGCAGAGAGGCAGGCAGAGAGAGAGGAGGAAGCAGGCTCCCCGCTGAGCAGAGAGCCCGATGTGGGGCTTGATCTCAGGACCCTGAGATCATGACCTGAGCTGAAGGCAGAGGATTTAACCCACTGAGCCACCCAGGCGCCCCCTGAATACTTTTTTTTATAACAAATGCTGCTATAGATTAGCTTACAAGAATGCACTTTAGACATATTTGACAATTCAAACTTTCAAAATAAGGATGTCAGTAACTGGCCAACAGTAAAGCCATTTTAAGAAGTTGTTTTGAATTTTGTATGTATATATCTACTTTCCAACCTTTAGATATGCAAAAAGAACTGAAATAAATACTAAGAAATACAAAGTTTTGTGACAGTCATTTAACACATACTCCTAGCACCTTTGCTTTGAGCTAATGTTCATTTGTTTCTCTCATGTTGGGGCCACCTATATTAAAGCACACAAAGGAACCGTTTCAAAATAGGGTACTTCTGCCTAGGGACCCATTTCTTCTCAGCAGCACAGCTTTGAGGAGGGACCTCCTTGACTGGGGGGAGAGAGGAAAGGGGAACACACAAACAAAATTATCAAAGGACACTGAAGGAACATTCCCTACATTTCAGTAGGAGGTCTGCACAAGGACCTCTGGGAGTACCCTGTTCCAGGTTCCTTCCCCCTACCAGCGTGGAGGCAACCCCAAAGCAGGATCCTAAACCTACACTTCCCCTCACCCCTTACCTCTGTTGCCAGCTTCTGGATTGGCTTTTTTTTATAGGCAGTCCTGAGTGCTGCTCCAGAACCAGCTCAACTGGGGAGAAGCCAAAACCTGAGCTATTGCACCACCTTCTGGGAAATAAAAGAAAGGTCTGCAATGGCCACTCTGTTGAACTACACGAAAGTAGACAACTGAGGACCGTGTGCTATTTCAGTGCGAGGGCAGAACTACATCTAATTGAGCACTATAAAAACAATGGTGATACGGAATGACCAAACATTCCGCTGCTGAACCAAAGGTGCAAACTACTGTGATTTAACTGACAAGCAATTCAAAATAGCGACTATAAAGAAATCTGATGAGCCTATAAGAAAACTCTGAACAGGAGGTTGTTTTTTTCTTTACCAAGGAGTTTTTTTTAATTTCAAAGCCAAATTCTAGAGCTGACAAATTCAGTGAATGAGATGAAGAAATGCATTAGAGAGCTTAAGAAATAGAACAGATCAGGAGCACCTGGGTGGCTCAGTGGGTTAAAGCCTCTGCCTTCAGCTCGGGTCATGATCCCGGGGCCCTGGGATCGAGCCCCGCATCAGGCTCTCTGCTTAGTGGGAAGCCTGCTTCCCCACCCAGCTCTGCTTGCCTCTCTGCCTACCTGTGATCTCTCTCAAATAAATAAAATCTTTAAAAAAAATAGGGCAGATCAGATTGAAGAATAAATTAATGACTTAAAGGAGAGGAATTTAGAAATGATCCAGGAGAGGAAAGCTAAGATTTAAAAAAAAAAAAACAAAACCTGCAAGAGCTAATCATGTATGATGAGAAAAACAGAATAATCTACCAGAAGAAGGGGAAAAGGGAGGAGAGAGTGTATTTAGAGAAATAGAACAGAACTTCCCAAACCTACCTGGGGAAGGAACTAGAGAAGTCTTAAGAAGCTGTTTTTAAAATTAAAAAAAAAAAAAAAAAGTACCCAGGGAAGAAAGAGAGTGACCTACAAAGGAATTTCCATTAGCTTACTGATGGGTTTCTCAGAAATTCTACACACCAGGAGGAAGTGGAATGGTGCATTCAAGTGCTGAAAAATAACTGCTAACCCAGAACACTTTATCTGAAAAAGATATGCTTCAGGTATGAAGGATAAATAAAGGCTTTCCCTCCTAAAACAGAGAGCTCACTACTAGACATGGCTTGCAAGAAATACTGAAAGGAGTCCTCCAAGCTGAAATGGAAAGATGCTAATTAGTGACATAAAAGCACATGAAATAACCTATTAGAGACAAAGGTAAACAACATTTAGAAAACTGTATATTAAAATGTGTTAACCACTTAAATATAAAGGCTTAAGAAAAAGAGCAACAACAAAACTATCACCACTATAATTACTCAATGAATTCACTGCAAAAAAAAGGTAAACTATGACATCGGAAATATAAATGGGGAGGAGTAAAAGGGTGGAACCTTTATATGAAGATAAAGTGCTATCAGGATAAAAAGGACTCTTCAGATGTTTTATGTAAGTCACATGGCAATCACAAAGCAAAAGTCCATAAAAAGTCACAAAACAAAAAGGGAGGCTGAGCAAATCATGGAAAACCACATTATAAAGGCAGACAGAAACATAGGGAAAAAGAAACAACCAGAAGGCTAAATATAAGAGGTAGTACTATTATGCCCAAAATATAAATACAAAATACAAATCAATACTCAATATAAATAGACTGAATTCATCAATCAAAAGGCACAGAGTAGCTTGATGGATAAAAACAAGACCCAGCCATATGCTGCCTACAAGAAACTCCTCTCAACTTTTTAAGATACACACAGGCTCAAGGTGAAGGAATTAAGAGAATATTCCATGCAAGTGGAAACCAAACGAAAGTGGGCATAGCTTTACTTATAGCAGACAAAACAGAGGTCAAGCCTAAAAACAAAGAGACAAAGAAGGTCATTATGTAATGACACAACAGTCAATACATCAGGAAGCTATAACAATAGTAAACATATATGCATCCAACATTGGATCACTAAAATTTATTAAGCAAATACAGATCTAAAGGGAGAAACAGACACCAATACAGTAATAGTAGGGGACTTCAGTACCCCACTGTCAGCAATGAATAACTCATCCAGGCAGAAAGTCAACAAACTGAACTATAGAACAAAAGAACTTAACAGACCTATTCGAGCATTCTATCGAACAGAGGCAGAATACCCATACTTCTTCAGTGCACATGAAATATTTTCCAGGACAGATGACATGATAAGGCACAAAACAAACTGCAGCAAATTTATGAAACCACATCAACTACCTTTTCGGACCATAATGGTATGAAACTAGGAATCAACAAGAGGGAGACCAGAACATTTACAAATAAGTAGAAACTACACAACATACTTTTGAACAGCAAATGTGTCAAAGAAGAAAAAGGGAAATAAAAATTTACCTTGAAACAAATGAAAATGGAAACACAGCATATCAAATTTTACAGGATGTAGTAAAAGCAGTTCTGAAAGTTTATAGCAATAAACATGTTAAGGAATTAGAAAAATTACAAATAACCTCCCCCCCAAAGAATAGAAAAGCCCAAAATTAGCAAAAGGAAGGAAATTATAAAGATCAGAGTGGAAATAAGTGAAATAGGACCAGAAAAATGGAAAGGATCAATAAAACTAAAGGCTGGTCCTTTGAAATGGTAAAATCTTTAGCCAGACTAAGGAAAAAAGAAAGATTCAATTAAGAAATGAAAAAGGACACATTACAATTGATACTACAGAAATACATAGGACCATAAGAGAATACTACGAACAATTGTATGTCAACAAATTAGACAACCTAGAAGAAATGAATAAATTTCTATAAACACATAACCCATCAAGCTGAGTCAGGAAGAAATGGAATATCTGAAAGAATAATAAAGGGATTGAATCAGTAATCAAAACCTGCCCAACACAGAAAACCCCTGGACCAGATGGCTTCACAGGCAAATTCTACCAAATCTTCAAAGAAGAATTAACAATAGTCTTCTCAAACTCTTGCAAAAAATTGAGGAGGTAGGGATTGTTCCAAACTCATTCTATAAGGCCAGATACCAAAGAGAGATGAGGAACCACAAAAAAACCAGATCAGTATCCTTGATTAATATAAATGCAGAAGTCCTCAACAAAATATTAGCAAACTGAATTCAAGAACACATAAAAAGAATTATACACCATGACCAAGTGGGATTTATCTCTGGGAAGCAAGGATGGTTCAATATATGCCAATCAATAAATGTAATAGATCACATTAATACAATGAAAGATAAAAATCACATGATTAACTTATTAGACACAAAAAAGCAACTGACAAAATACAACATACTTTCATGGTAAAAACCCTTGGTAAATGGGATATAAATGGAACATAAAAAGGCCATATACAACAAACTCACAAGTAACATCATACCCAGTGGAGGGGAAAAAAAAAAAAATGAAAGCTTTTCCTCTATCATTAGGAATAAGACTAGCATTTCTACTCTCAGCACTCTTATGCAACACAGTACAAGTCCTTGCCTGATCAATTAGGCAAGACAAAGAACTAAAATCCATCCAAATTGAGAAGAATGAAATAAAACTGTCACTATTTTTAGATGATAGGATTCTGTACACTGAAAATCCCAAGGCTCTACCAACAAACTGATGGAGCCAA